CTGCATGGAGCACTGGGTGTTATGCACAAACAATGAATCATGGAACACTACATCAAAAACTAATGATGTAATGTATGGTGATTAACATAATAAAAAATTAAATAAATGTAAGCCCCCCCTCCAAAAAAAGTGACGTTCTAACACCTCTAGATCCATTAGTGAGGGTGGGAAAAGAACAGAAATTCTATTTGTATTTACTGTAACTGATCCATTTAAAAATAGTTTATTTTTTTAAGATTTATTTATTTATTTTGGAGGGGAGGGGCAGAGGGCAAGAGAGAGAATCTCGAGCAGACTCCCTGCTGAGCTTGGTCTCAGGACCCTGAGATCGTGACCTGAGGCAAAATCAAGAGTTGACGTTTAACCAACTGAACCATCCAGATACCCCATTAAAAAATAGTTTATAAACATTGAGAGTGTGAGCAAACTTTTTTTTTTTAAAGTAATGAGGTGCACCATCAACAAGGTTTGAAGGTCCTGCTAGGAGGGATATCAGATCTGTTGTCCAGTAGCCACAGGACAATGACCTCTGTCAACATGCCAGGTCTTCAAGGGAACTTTTAAATGGCTGCTCTCGATTGTGCCAAGAAGTTCCCCAGGTTTGCAACCTCGGGCCTGATGGTTAGGCTGGCCGTCCAAATGACTCTGGGTATCCACTTTGAGGGTTTGATTTCCTCAGTTCTGTAATGTGTTTTTTGTTTTTTCTTTTAAAAGGCCTTTGAGGAAGGTGACCTATGGAATGAGGCCCTCTCACTGTCCCATCTAATACGTAACTGTCCACAACAGGGATTCTAAATCATAATTTACGGGAAAGATACTTATATTCATGGCATCCACCTCAACCGTTTGGTTGCATTCAAGTATTACTAACTTGATTTACTCTGTAATACTTTTTCACTCTTAATTAGGGTGAATGGATTGTCTTTACACTATGTTCTGTCTGCTTCATAATCCTATAAGCACCTTATGAGCACAGGCCTCGTTGTTTTCTTTCTTTAACCTACAAGAACACCTTGCAGACTGTGATGGTTAAAAATGACACTGAATAGGCACGTTGGTCAGCTGCGGCTACGCCTTCACGACTCCGCGGAGACTCAGAGGACCCAGACCCATGTGGAAGCTGCTACCCGCCGCGGGCCCTGCCCGAGAACCATTCAGACTTTTGACTGGTGTTGAATACATTGTTGGACGGAAAAACTGTGGCATTGTAATTGAAGGTGATCAGTCAATCAGTCGAAATCATGCTGTGTTAACTGCTAACTTTTCTGTAACCAACCTGAGTCAAACAGATGAGCCTCCTATATTGACAATAAAAGATAATTCTAAGTATGGTACCTTTGTTAATGAGGAAAAAATGCAGAATGGCCTTTCCCAAGCTTTGAAGACAGGGGATAGAGTTACTTTTGGAGTGTTTGAAAGTAAATTCACAGTAGAATATGAGCCTTTGGTTGCATGCTCTTCTTGTTTAGATGTTTCTGGGAAAACTGCTTTAAATCAAGCTATATTGCAACTTGGAGGACTTACTGTGAACAATTGGACAGAAGAATGTACTCATCTTGTCATGATAACAGTCAAAGTTACCATTAAAACAATATGCGCACTCATTTGTGGACGTCCGATTGTAAAGCCAGAATATTTTACTGAATTTCTTAAAGCAGTTAAGTCCAATAAACAGCCTCCACAAATTGAAAGACTCCTGTGAGAACGTGAAAACACTGTTTTCACAGTTTCCTCCAGAAACTACACTTTCATACTACCAGCGTGCCTAGTATTTCAACAGAATCACATCTTCCTCTAAAGCCTTTTCATGATCCTCCCTATGGAAGCCAATAAATACCATAAATAAAGACGCTTGCTACAGATAATAAAAAAAAAAAAAAATGACACTGAATAAACTGTTGACATAATGTCCTATGAACGGATTTGCTTGGTCAACCCTTGAAGTCTACTTCCTGGTTTTGAAACAGATTTGGCAATCAGGTCTTGCTACTATTTTGGGCAGCTCAGAGCGCAAGGCTGAAGTGAGCAGGGACAGCTCTCAAGACACAACAGCATCCAATTCAAGTCAAAAGCAGTTAAAATTAATCGACATATTTCCTTCAGGATTTATAAATTCCATCCTCTCTTCTTACTTCTCCAGGTTGCTAATTACTGTTTCTACTCATATGGGGAAACAATAATGGACTTTGGTAGAGTGTTGTTCTATTTACAAGACAAATTCAAATTATCCATTAAGTCCACATGGAAATCCTATGGAAAACAGATTATTGTCATCATCCCCATTTTACAAAAGAGGATAATGAAGCTCAGAGAATTTAATGCTTTGTCCAAGGGCATTCAGATAATAAGTGACAAATTCAGGGAACTTAAACCCTATTTTTATGACTTCAAAGCAACAACAGGCTTTCTATCTCACTAGTCCATCTTAGCCAGTTCGTGTGTGTGCATGTGCATGCGAGAGAGAGAGAGAGAGACTGTTCTTCCAGAATTGTAGTTATAAACACTGTTGTTTCATGTAAGGATAGAATAACATATTTTGATTAAATTTTTGATATTAGTTTCTGAAGATGCCTGTGTTTTGTTGACCTTCTTTTTAGTCATAGAGGCAGAATGAGTCAATAGTTTCAAGGAACAGAACACACAGCTTTCTTTTTAAGAAGTGATTCACTGAGGGCCTATTTTATTAAAAGTATAGCATGATTTACTCCCCCTCCAATTAAGATTTCTTGTATCTAGGATCGTCCTAGTTATTTTAGATGAAAAATTCCATACCATAAAGAATGGTCTCACCTAGGACTATGAAAGAGAAGGTCGAGTGACCTGAGGTCAACTGCTGGAAGGTGTCCCTCATGTCCATCCCAACCACACAAATCGCATCTCCTGCATGAAGTGGTCATTGGTTTTCTTTGTGGTTGTTGCTGTTTGTTATTAGGTTGGTCTGCTGCAAATTCAAGAGCTGATGATCCGGTTTGCTCTAAACTTCTATAAAGAAATAGTCTAGGAGCCCAACTTTAATATCAGAAACAATGACTACAGCAGGACTCCACATTTCTATTTTAATTGAATGCCAGTTTACTTCATGTTGCACAAGCAGTAATTTACGAGTTATCCTTAGAACATTTGGTCCCGTGTCTCAGCCACAGGCACGAAGGGTTCAGCACAACTCTCCATTCTCGATGAAAAACACTGCAGTAAGAACATAAAATAAAACCAAGACTTTGCTCAAAATTAATAGTGCCTTAAGTTGTTTGGAAGATAAATAAGGAAATGCAGAAAAATAAAAGACTCAAAAACAGTTTTGTTAGGGTTGCCTGAGACCTTTCTGTTTCATTTCATTTACAGCTTGCAAAGAAAAAAAACAATCAATGATCCTATCTTCTTTCTCTTCAACATCAGAAATTGGGTCTCTGATTTTGAAAGCCAGGGAATGCAGTTACTCGGATTAGTTCTTGTGCTCTGGAGGTCTCCAGAAAGAGACTACTTATGTTCTGTACATAAGCAGCACTGAAATATTTCACCAATACATGAGTAAACAAGAGCATTATCAGTCGTTGAGCACATTTTATGAGCTGAGTGAAAGAGAATATTCGTAAGTGGAATGGGAATGATAATGGAGCAGGACGGGCATGGGAGTCTCAGAACAGAGACACCAACACCTCCAAACCTTTCTAATAATAGGGAGGAAAATGCTCTGCACTGGATGCCATTAAGATGGTCTAAGAAAGAATCCTTGTATCTGGGCTGCTAAATTTAATTTTTCTGAGAAAAACAGAATGTGAGTTGATTTCTCTTTTATTTGCTTTTTTTAAAAATAAAGCTTTTGTTTATCAGGCTTTGTTTCTCATTTTCATGGTTGGAATACAATGAAATCCTATTGACAGATGGGCTTTAGCCATGCTAATTACCATGGCGATCAATTAACTCAGCTGCTGTTTAGAATAAAGGAAGTTACATAAACAACAATCTGGAAATTCTCTCTTTTATAAAGGCCATTGTAGAAACATCACCTATCATGCATAGAATTAATGAAATATCCGGTAGACCATGTTATCATGGTACAGGGGGCTTTTGCATTTATTTGAGACCTTTTCACTCTATCTTTGTCCTGTCAGGAAAATAGCGGACATCCACGCTGCAAAGACGGTTGGACCCAAAGTGTCAGCTTAAATAAAGTGACTTGCCACATCACTCACTTTGGAGCTGGCCTGGCCAGTGGCTGGAGGCCTCACATCCTTCCTGTCTGAGAGGACTGCACGCTATTACTCATGTGTCAGGGGTAAATGTGTGTGGAGAATGTCAAAACTGGTTAATTTCAGGAAGTTTTGCATCATCTCATAGATATGTGTGTTGTCCCATCAACACTTTTAAAGTATGATATCCACTGATTATACACATTTATACTAAAAGCAACCACAAGGACTTGTGGATATTCCTGCGGTAGCCTCTGCCCATTTTCTAATGAAACCTCTGCCCAGGCTAGAGAGTAACATAAGCTAAGACAGACGGGCAACGGAATGCCAACGTCTTGAAGGAATCCTTCACTCGCCATAAAGCAGGTGAAGGTGAACTGAGGAAGAGGCCATGCAGAGTTCAGTCCGGGCACCACACGGGGCTTTCCTCATGGAGCCAAGACCGTCCCTTCACCAGGAAGGCTCTGACCGGAAGGAAACATGGGCAGAAACTCTTGTGTGTGTGTCTGTGTGAAAGCTGGGGACAGGAGGCTGCTGCTTCCGTTTGGTTACAGCAGCTACAAGGACAACAGTGAACAGTGAGACGTACGTTTGTGTGAGGAGAAAGGAGTCAATGAGTGCTGTGATCAAGGGCTGCTCCTGCAAACCCAGGCAGGTAAGAGGGCACGATGGCCAAATCCTTCCTCTGGGCCCAACGCAGCAGCGCTGTGTGCAGTGAGCCTTCTGCAGGGTCCTGACCACGCCCTGCGCGACCCCAACGGGGAGCATTCATCTCTTCTGAGCAAGCACAACGTTCGACTTACACACCTACCATGACTCCTATTAACTTCTAGTACATAAAGTAATTCAAAGTACTTGAGTCTTATCTCTCCTTGTAGGTATTTTGTTCTTTGAAAGAGGAAAATGACTCCGAGTCGTCCTTCTGTCCTGGAAGCTACTAGTCCAATGACTTGCTTATAGGATGTGGCCATTAAATCTTTACTATGAGAAATTATTAACATGTTTCTGAGCTCATCTCCAGATGGCGCAAAAGCTTAACAAAGTATGTAAATAAGTCTATAATTTTCCAAATACATATTCTTCTGGACAATTAATAGGGCCAATTCAAGACATTTCCAAAGAATAGATTTCTTCCACTGATTTCCCACCAGGAATCACTATACAGGAAGAACAAGGAGGAACAGCAGAGAAATCACAAGTAAATTAGAACTAAATAGAAAACAAATACTAACAGTGGTTTCAGACCTTAGCAGCATCCTCCTAGCAGCATTAAGAAAGGACGCATGAAGATCTAGGACGTTAGTGACACTTTGATGGGGATTCCTGTCCAATCCATAGGGCTGTGGCTATTTTCCCAGTCATTCCAACACATTTGCTTGTACATCATGATTGACGCCCTTTGTTAGGAACTTTGTAGGGCTCAAGTTTGAATAAGATATCTCACATCAAAAAAAGAAAAAAAAAAACTAATGTAGGAAACATCCCACACAGTAATTTTATTTTTTTATTTTTTTAAGATTTTATTTATTAGAGACAGAGAGGGAGAAGTAGACTCCCCACTGAGCGGAGAGCCCAACGTGGGGCTCAATCCCAGGATGCCGAGATCATGACCTGAGCCGAAGGCAGACGCTTAACCCACTGAGCCACCCAGGTGCCCCGCACACAGTAGTTTTAATGAAATAAAAATATAATTTTAAAAATAAAAATATGATATTTAGTAATGCTGCTAGCTTGCAAAACCCTTTGCATTGTCTTCTAGTTTGATACTTTAGTCAAACATATATCGTTCTTGGAAGATAAGGAATATGCTCAGAAATATATGTCAACCACCTGGAAAAGAAAGACACCTAGAAAATGCTCAAAAAGGAATACTTTGCTGATTGAATATTAACACCACATGAGAGGGAACCAGCTAATTTTCTCATTTTCAGGATAACACATAATTACCTAAATGTAATGAGGAATTAATGATGATATTAGTGTTAATATTCTGACAAAGAAAATTTATGTTGAAGTTATTAAAGTGTATTTGAACTTATGCACAGGTCATGCTGGTATATCTAAACTACAGTGACAGTGTCTTTGAAATGTGCTGATTATAAGTTTACTACAAAAGAGTAAACATTAAAAAATGGTTTGAATGGTTTTCCTCAATGACAGCTGAATTCAAAACATCTTAAGTCCCCATTATCATTATCATTCCTATTAGTATTTTTTTTTTTTAAAGACCTTATTTATTTTTTAGAGAGCGAGCGAGAGAGAAACAGCATGAGAGGGGCGAGGGTCAGAGGGAGAAGCAGGAATGCCAACGTCTTGAAGGAACTCGATCCCAGGACCCCGGGATCATGACCCGAGCCGAAGGCAGACGCCCAACCATCTGAGCCACCCAGGCGCCCCCTATTAGTATTTTTTACATGGTTATTCTCCATAGAGCAAAAATTTTAAAAATGGAAACATTCTTTTACTAAGGCACATTGGAAGTTAACAAACAAGTAAGTATCAACCCATGAAATCATATATTTTTAAAGATTATATTTATTTATTTATTTGAGAGAGAGAGAGAGCAAGTGGAGGGGAGGGAGAGAGGGAGATGGACAAGCAGACTCCCCGCTGAGCATAGAGCCGGATGCAAGGCTTGATGCTAGGACCCCGAGATCATGACCTGAACCGAAACCAAGAGTCAGACGCTTAACCAACTGAGCCACCCAGATGCCCCTATAAATTTTTTTTAATATGTCTTTAATTTATTAAACTTATTCAATCTATAAGTGTTTCTCTCACAAATTATAAGTAATCTACAAACCTTCAGTAATAAGGTGTGTGTCCTACACATCTGAGTATTTCTCATATGATTAAGACACTGGAAGGGACTATAAAGCACAAAATTGTAGCAGCAAAGCTTCTTAAAAATAAGTAAACACACACACATGTATATCTAGACTTGGAAAGTAAAGCCAAAGCCAAAAGTTCTATAAAGCCAAAAGCTATCAAGAGATATTATTTTCAACATGCAATATATAACTTAAAATGCATCCCTTTTCATGACAAAATGTTAAAACAGTAACCTGTAAAATAAAGTGATAAATACAATGCCCCCTAAAAGTGCTCCCTGCTGGAAAATGACATCATTTTTTAATTGTACATCCAAAGTGATTGAAAACATGTCCAGACTGAGTGTGCACTTGCTGACTTTCTCTCTCCCCACACATGTATATTTGTGTGTGTGTGTGTCCTCTGTCCATATTCTGTCTCCTTATAATAGAGAAAAACTCAGTAGCTGAGTTGCCAGCAGATTGATATGGAATAAATTGTCAGGTCTCATGAGTTTCTTCAATTATATACTGTTTATACATTTATTTAAGAGGTTTTATCATGGTGTTTAAATCTCAAAGATGGGCAATACTAAACCTCTCCAATGGGAAACCTTCAAACATATGAATGAAAGCTTGAACTTTCATCAGAGTATTGTCAATGTGCCTATTAAATAATTATCCAAAGAAATAAATATCATTCATTTGCAACCTTGGAGGCACAATTATTGTATTATTATAAAGCGAATGGCAGAACAGGAAGAAAATTCGTGGTTTAACCTCTACATCAGCTTTGAAAATTCTGCATCTTTCCTAAGTTGCTTTGCGAATTTCAAGTAAATATTGCCCTGTCTTAAGATTACACTTTATTTTTAAAATAGTAGCAGGCACATATTTCAAGGAAGGAATCCAAATGCAGCAAGCTAATATATTTGCTTAATGTGGTTTAATTATTATATATGCTACATACTGACATTGATGCCTCTACTCCTTTTTCACAGAAAAGACATTTATTTGCCCTGCAAAGCGAGGCATGGAACTTTAAGCCGTCAGCTGACTGTACTAAGTGAAACCATCAATTATCTGGATTTTTTTTTTTTTGGCTGCATTAAGGTTTTATAAAGAGGCAAATTATAAAGGGCATTATTGTGGATTTATTCCAAAAAATAACTTCAGGGCTGTTTCCTTGGCCGGCATGAAATCAGTGTCATCTTTTCTATTTTCTGGGTATTTAGGCTGTACAATGAGAATTGATTTTCTGAGTGATAGCCCCGAGACCTTGCAGGGGTCTCACTTATCGAAGAAAGGTTCGATTATGTTCCCATACTGTACTTACCAAGGAAGAAAAAGCAAGAGAATATACTTAACAGAAACTCCTCAGGAGAAGTTATAATAGCCTCCAGTTACCTGGATTTGCACATCGAGATAATTCAGATAGCCCATTTCTCAAAAGCCTGTGCAACAGGAATTTATGGTGTGGGAACATTTTATATTTAGGAGTATTTATATATATTCCCAGTGATCCCTGAGTTTATTACATAATCAGAGTAAGTTTTTAATTGCAATTTTGAGGTAAGATAATTACCTATATGGTATCTGACTCACCCACAGTGCTGAGTCAAATGAAAGAATCATACAGTATATACAGCCCCAGAAGGCTGTGTTTAGCACTTCAGATTCCAGGCTGCTCTGCAACAGAGATTTAAGGCCTGCACGGTGGCTGGAATAGAGGACACTAAGCTCCCTGATAATCCTGAATCCTATGGGATATTCTACGGAATGATGACACTTAATTGGCCAGACCTTGAGGCTTCTTGCTTTCCACTGTGTGTTCCCAGAAAATGGTAAAATAGTAAAAGGCACATAAATGCAAAATGCCAACAAAAGAATTACAGCAAGCTAATAAAACAGACTGCAAAGCTTAATTATGTTCAGTATCAAACAACGGTAATATGAAAAAAAAAAGATGTTAGCTTCTTTTGAATGTGAACCCTGGATTCTTGCTCTGCCAAAAAAAAGGGGGGGAGGGAAGCTTATTCTACAAAAATAATTTCATCTACTGTTTAAGAAAACAAAACCCTTGCATTATCTCCCTAACTTACTAAGATTTTAAAACCGAACTGTGCAAAGTTGGTTGGTGGGAAGTGAAAAAGGACGTGGAATCGGAGCCTTGCTGGCTTCTGGCAGAGTCGTCTGGACGCTACGGGTCTCCTCTTACAGTTGCACTCGAGCTCAGCACCACCACGGCTGATCTCTGACAAACTTATCAGGACACCAAGAACTACAGAAGAAATTTGTTAACTTAATATTTTGAGTCAAAGGGCCATCCATCTCTACAAATAGTGAAGAACTGCTCTAAATAATTAATAATTTTCTACGTGAAAATTATAATGCTAGATTTTTTCCCCCTACAATTTTATAAAATCCTCCTTTTCCTGAAATGCTGCTGCCTTTCTGGTTAAGGGTGTGAAGTCGGGCCCCGCACTTCCCAGCCCTCAGTCTCCACCACGTTCACCCCCTGTGGCTGACTTCTCGCCGTCTCTCCAAGCCCAGGACTTTCAGGAAGCCTTCCCTGTTGGCACCCTCTCCACGTTCTGCATTTGTTCTCCAGATATTACTCATTTCTCTCATGTTGTATTGACTTCTCTGGTATTTTTTACCCCCCTGCAATTTGTGTGTGTGCATATGCATACATGTGTGTGTATGTGTATGTGTGCGCGTATATATATGTGCATGTGTGTATGCATATGTGTGCGTGTATATATGTGTGTATACATGTGTATGCATGTGTGCATGCGTGTGTGCATACGTGTGTGTGCATGCGTGTGTATGTATGCGTGTATGCATGTGTGTGCATGTGTATGCATGCATGCATGTGTGTGCGTGCATGTGTATACATGCGTGCATGCATGTGTGTATATGTGTGTGCATGCGCGTGTGTGCATGCGTGTATGCATGTGTGTGTGCATGTGTATACATGTGTGTGTGCATGTGTGTGCATGCGTGTGTATACATGCGTGTATGCATGTGTGTATACGTGTGTATGCATGCGTGTATGCATGTGTATACATGCATGTGTGCATGTATGTGTATACGTGTGTGCATGTGTGCGTGCGTGTGTATACGTGTGTGCATGCGTGTGTATACATGCGTGTATGCATGTGCGTGCGTGTGTATACGTGTGTGTATGCACGTGTGCGCATGCATGTGTATACATGCATGTATGCGTGTGTGCATGCGTGTGTACACATGTGTGTGCATACATGTGTGCGCATGGGCACATGTCCTCTTTCAGACTGAGGCTCCTCTACGAGCATAGCCTGCACGAAACATTACTCATGTGTGCATCCCCAGAACTTAGCACACGCTTCACACACACTGGGCGTTCAGTCAACATTTCCAATATAAGTGAATATGAGTATGGAAATACAGTGGTAATTGGACCACTGAGTGAGATACAATCCTGCATCTGAGACAAACAGGAGAAACAAACTAAAACAGTTCTTTCGGCTGATGCAACCTCTGATGGTGCAGGTCTGACAAAGCTTGAAATTAAAAGGGGGGTTGGGCAAGGCAGAGGAGGTTGACTCACACACGGGAAGGCCAAGCCAGGGCCGAGGAGCTCCTCACAAACACTTCGAGAATACAGAGAGAGAAGTGGCACTCAAGGATTCTACCCAGCCGCCACCTGCCCGGAGGACCTCTCTCCGGCCGCCCGCGAGCCCGCACTCTGGTGTGCGGGGGAGGGCAGCGTGCCCTACGGCCTAGAGGGAGCCACAGACGCACAGAGAGGCATTCAGGATGCACTCTGCTCCAGAACCCTCATCGGACTGGTCTCCTCGCAAGCTCATCTCACGCGTCCCCTGGAGGTGTTCGCCTGCTGCGAACGGGTCTTGCCTTTATCCGCACACTCTGTTCTTCACCCTCCCCACATCCGATGGCTGAACACCGCCTGTCCGTTCTACTCAAGAACCACTCTTAGCGCCCCGCGTTGGCTTTGGTCCTCCTCCTATTTTCATCTCCTAGCAACAGCGTCCCCTCTGAACCAACGAGAAAGCATCTACTGGTCCTCCTGCCCCCTCGGGGCCTTCCCAGCTCGTGAGAAACCTCTTCCTTACATCAAATAAATGAAAAAATAAATACACATCACAAACACCTGCTTCGAATCCTTCCCATTTCCCTTCTCCTTTTTCTCTTTTCTTTCCCTCCCTTTTTATACTTTTGGAGGGAGGATTCTTGCTTAGGGATACTGTTACATATTCCCGGGATCCAGGAAGGACTCTATGAATCGGCTCCAATCCTTTTCTTTCCAGCGTCACACCCCGCCCTTCGAAGTCAGGCTCCCTTCTCTGGGGACCACCACCGGCCTTGTCATGAATTCTGGCTTCTGTAAGCTGAGCTCCAGTGTTCGGACTCACGCGCTGACCGTCGGTCCCCCGAGGAGCTGAGGTCCCCGCGGCCAGGCGCAGGGCTGAGCCATCCTTCGCCCCGAGCTCAGCGCACGCTACCCGCCGCGCGACAAACACGCACTCCCGCGTGGGGTGCACGCGCAGGAACACGGACACGGCTCTCGAGTGGCCAAGCTGTGCAGGAAGGGCTGAAATCGCGTCCCCCACGACACGCGCGCGGCGGGGCCGGAGGGGCTGGGCTGGGCTGGGGGCCGCGCGGCCCGGACTCGGGCGCCTCCGAGC